CAAATTGCTGGAGCACACAGGCGCGAACACCATTAGGGCTCGCTAAGTATCACGGCTTGACTGTGTTAAGGTAGCTGAGAAGCGAACTTTCAGTAATAAACGGATTTAAGGTGCAGTTTGACCACTGCAACTGATAATGATTAGGCTGATTTTTATAATACCTTTAAGGTACCATTATTCTCGCTTTCATCTGAAAAATTGACCGAAGATGGCAAAATAGATGCCTTACGTGAAAGATTGCCAAAGTTAAAAAGTTGCTTAGAATTATGTGCAAACTAAACGCTACAACGGTAAAGGCACATGGAATTTTGCGTAAAAAGTTCGATCGGGCAACTGCATAACGGGAGAAATCTGTGTGATTTTCCGATTTCTAAAAATTATAACACATCGAATTCACGTATTTTAATCTCATTAGTTCCTTTAAGAACCACGAATGCCTTTCCTACCTCACTAGGTGATCAATAGGGACGCAGATATCAGAAAACAAGTACAAGGTTTCATAAAATATTTTAATGACAATATCAATGTCTGCACAATTGTACAGTAGGGACCAATCGACTTGCAGAATAAGATCATTTAGTTTATGAAAATCAGCCCCACGATAACAGCCGACAGGATCAGCTTATTCCGATTCCTTGATAGGCACTAGGGCTGGAGGGCATCTACTGTCAGGCACGATGCAGATAACCAATGTCAGACAGTACAGTTTGGAGAAGATCTCAGCTGCTCTTGACCATAAATCAGTTGTTAGAGCTAAACCGAACATACTGCTTATAAGTGCCGTAGGAGAGATAATATATAGACAAGTTTTGAGCATTGCTACGCGGCTTAAGATCAACAAGCTTTAGATACAGCTTTTTTTTTTGATCGCCGAGCTGGCTGGGACCGCTACAAATCTAAGGAAATTGTTGATGGTGGGTTTCAAGTGTTGATCAGAAAGGATGAGATTGCAAAGGCTCTTATCGCAAGAACAAATCTATCAGATTGCAAGTGTCTTAAATATCGGGTACCCAGATGACTACATAAACGGTTCACGCTTACAGGGCATAAAGGATTTTGAGACTGGGCAAGATTCGCTTTATGTTACGCTATGCGGAATTATCAAATAATAGCCTGGAACTAGATGTTTCAGATAACTGTATGTCGGCCACATTGCCACCAAATGTCGGAATCCGGTTGATAGAAGCCATTTATAGTAGCAAGGGAAAGTAGGAGATGAGTCACCAAACAGGAAGCCGTATGCCCGCTAGCTGCCAAAAGCCGCACTGGTAGGCAGTCAGTATGCAATAATTTAGCTCCAAATCATTAATATTCTGCAAGGCTAAATCGATTGTCGACATGGTCGTGCACGTAGCTTCCAAGGTATTTGCGGGCACCAGGTAGAAAGACAGGAATTTCTTTTGATTTTCACATTGTAAACATTTAACACTGTCAAGTGGAGGAGTATGCTGCGTTTATTGACATCTTTGGAGGTTCCACAATAGCCAGTAATTATGATCAGCAGTGATGTCAAAATACGGGTACTCAAGTATGATACAATGGGGAGAACAGATCAGGACTAGGGGCTGTTCCATGACAATCTGTCCTGGGCCCACTTTTATGGAAATCAGCTTATAACGATATTTTGCAACCTAAACGCACACACAGGTAGAGGCTTAAGAACAACTAGATGCTGAAGGAACATACAATCAATCAATTGATACGGGCCAGGTATGGCTCTCGTTGGTAGGCGTATTCCGCTGACCAGTGTAAATATAACAGTAATGCAGTACGCAGCTCACATGTAAGTCTTAAATATTTTTAAATGATGCGAGACGTACGGCCAAAACTGAATAGCAGTGTCAGGTCAGAAGAGACAGCGTTACGAGTGTAGAGAGGCTCTTAGATGAACTGGTAGCAAAAATAACAATGGTTCACCGCAAGGGGCTGCGAAAGTGGCAGGGCCAGTAAATGCGTTATATAATGGACGCTCGATCGACTCATCCCAAACATAGAGCCAAAAATCAAGACCGAGTGAACTCTTATCTCACTGGAGGAAGATGTGGAGCGTGTTATCTATGCATGCGGCCCCCAGCTAAATATTTCTGTAGAATATAACTGGTCATTAGCATTGTTCTCCAACTCGTGGATGAGAAATATTGCATCCTAATTGTCCTTCTTAAAGCATCCGTTTTCAAAAGCTCAACTGAAGGCTGAAATTTGGGTTAGTTGGTTTGATAAGAAAATTATTTTCCTTGGGGCCGGCAACCGGAAAGCAACCTCCCATTAACGTAGGGTTGTATTGCATACCGAGTATAGTCAGCAAAAAACGCAAATTTTGCCGGAAATATTACCAAATGTAAGGAACGCAACTGTCACTTTCCTAACACTTTCCTCCATTTAATTTCCGTCACTGATTGCATTAAATTGGACGTTTTTCACTTCGATTTTTCAATAGGATTTTAGGACAAACCTCTTTTGTAAACATGATTTTCTGATATTAAAGATGCATCAGGTATATTTGATTGGGTAAACTTTCTTTTTTTTTTTGGGTGTACTGTAAGCTTACGAAGTTAGATCAAATTGGTTCAACATCTCACTATATCTTGCGTAAATCCGCCTACATACATGTCCTAGGATTTTCACATCTCTTGGTGTATTGTTGGTAAATTATTGACGTTGTTTTTTCGATAATGTTGCTTTTGCTTCCATATTTTTTGCAAAACAATGATTCAAAAAATTTATTTAATATGAAACGGTACATATTAATAAATTAACGCTCGATTTGACGCGTGTTTACTCAAGTACTTATTCCAAGTCTTATGTGTGTAATTTCAATACCGCCGTAAAAAATTACGTTCATAGGGAGAGATGAACAGGAAGGCGGACTATGCAAACGACTCGACAATTTTGTTGAAAAAATCTGTATACCAGTATAATACTTCCAACAAAATCCAAATTCTAAAATATACAACTGAAATTATTAAAAAGTTTATAAAGGAGGTTCCAAAAATCAAGACAAATTGGAAATCCCTTTATACATATCTTTCCTGAAGCTATCAATTACGAAACGTTTTGGAACTCTTAGCGCTTCTCTTATATCATTAACAAAACCTAATTACGTCAAATACATTTTTTTTCAAAAACTTGTCCATTTGCAAAAAACCGTATAGTCAAAGACCACATTAACCTTTTTCCAAAAAAATAGCAAACATATCATAAATAATCAATAGAACTGGCATCAATATAAAATTGAATCTTCAACGTCAAAAAAGGAGTATTACTAACTTTCGGGTCTTAAATATGACAACCTAATGTATATGCATAAATCAAAGCACAATGATTTAACAAAGACAATATAAAAACTAAGTTGAGTACAACAAAATGTATATGTAATACCATGCGCTTAAGAGAATGGAGAGCGAAAACGAAATTGGTAGCCTTGCGCTCACACCACTTTCGGCTCTCATGTCCATAGCCTCCATATACGATTATTTACGAGCTTAAGCAAAGAAGAAGAAATCGTCAACTGCCTGCTGTCCTTAAGGTTTCTTCCCCACAAGCAAACATAAGCGCCCACAAACACTGCACCAAATATTCGATTTGAAGACCGAGTGCTTAGTATAATTTAAAATTTGTATTGGTTATTCACTCTATATTTTCTGTTTTAAAATTTTTCTTATCCCTTTCTCTTTATTTCCTCCAACCATCTTTTTATTTCAATATTAACTCATTGCATATTTTAATAACGCAACTGAAAAAACATTAGGTGTGAATAAAAGCATTGCTAGCCGGACGGAAAACGAGAATGTTATTAGACATTTTTGTATACTATTAGGGGTTCCATTATTCTCCCATATCTATTAATAGACTTTTAATAGTGAAATATAATTTTACAACATTTTTAAAGGCAGGGTTTAATAAAGTTAGTTAAATAAAAACCTACTATAGAAAGCCAATAAACCAACAATTAGGTATTTTACACATTTGAAAATCAAAATAGTAGAGAAAATATTCAATTGGTTATTAAAAAAAACTTTACGTTTTTAAAAAATAAACAAGAGGTTCTAGTCGGGAGCTCCCTAATACAGGATACCCTGAACCCTCTTCTTCCAACATCAAATGCATATATATATTCTATTTTAGAAGCTATATGTCAAGTTTGGTGAATCTAGCTCTTATTATTTACCAAAATTGCCCAAAAACAGGATATCGATATCGATCGCTTGGAAACGGAGCAAGCTATCGATTATCGGAAACAAACTCGATCTGCGCGGGAGCTAGGAGCATCTACATCAAATTTCTAGCTCTTATAGGTTCTGAGATCCTTGCGTTCATACATACGGACGGACGGATGGACAGACACACGGACATGGCTAGATCGACTCGGCTATTGGTGCTGATTAAGAATATAAATTCTTTATGGGGTCGGAGAGGCTTTCATCTGCCTGTTACATACATTTGGATTTTGCACAAATACAATATACCCCCTTATACCCATTTTTAATGGGTTCAGGGTATAAAAAAGTGTGCTAGACGGATAAGCACCTGATTCATAATGTCATATTTAAAAGAGCTGTCTACTATGAAATTCATTAAACAATCGGTTATTAGCTAGCTAGCATGAAGCCCAGTAACTTACTCGCTTATCATTTTACATTATCTTACGAGACACATATTTATGAGTCAGCTGCTTATCCGTTTAAAGCATATTTTTAGCCCTTTCCTCAATTTTTTAACACAAAAATGTCAACTTTTTGCACATTCTTCTTAATTTCAATTGAATATTTTCTAAGATTTTGATATTTTACAATGAGTAACAGACTAAATGAGTGGCCATCTATTTTTAACAATTAAAAAAAAAAGCGTTGTCTCTGAACAATTTTCAAAATCCATTTCTTTATGGTAATAATAATTAAAAAAATATCGGCGTCATTAAACACTATTATTTGCTGATGCAATGTTTAACTAAATGAGAGTTAATTCGGCATAAATTAATAAAATTAAAGGGAATACCATACCGGTTCGGATATAATTTAGCATATTTAGTTTGCCATAATGAAGCAAATGATCCTCCTAATTTTTTTATGTATCCATGCAGTATGCAGTCCGATTCTTTTTCATCTGCGTCAAAGTGTTGTTTTTGTTTAGCTTTCTTTTTGTGCTCTATTTTATCAGTTTCCGCGTTGATTGTTTCAAATACAGTCTCAGACACTTCCTGTTGCCACCTGAATAAATCAAAATATTAATTTTGTTAATAAAAAGCATGTGCGATTTTTTCAATTAGGTTCAACCGATATTGGCATTGACAACAACCAATCGTAGGAAAGAGTCATTGCATTGGCGAAACTCAGTCTGTCAGCCAAACGCAATGTATTGTAAACTAGGAGCTTAGAAAATACAAAATATGTATACAAATTAAAGTTCTGAAATATTTCGGGGCGTTCGATATTAATATAAGGATATCAGTAATATGCGCGATTTGTTTTTCTATCTGTAGAGCTGTGAAATAATACTTAATCAAGGCTTGCTAAAAAACTTAATGTGGCAAACAAATAGATAAAACAATGAAAAATCATCTGCATTCGCGCACTCTCGCGCACTGAGTTCCAAGAAGTTATATTTTTAGTTTATACATATTTGTTTTAGGTTATTAGAATGGAAAACAGCACTAGTTTGCACACGACTGCAGCACTTTTATTATTTTTAGTCAAAATAGTAAAATTATTTTATTATATTGCGTTTTATCTCCGGTTTTGTTTTGTTATTGCTTTACGTTTGTATTAATCCTAAGCAACATATCTCGAGAACGAAGCAATAGTTATGCTGACGCCAAGTATGTATCGTATATTGAGTGCAAGTGTAAGCAGTAGATACATACTGAACATCAAAATCTATGGTAAGATGTGTACATAAATTAAAAAGATTAACGGTGCAACATTCTGGTATCCATTGTTATACCCTGAACCCATTACAAATGGGTAAAAAAGGTATATTGTATTTGTGCAATATGTAAAATAAAATAAATATATTCTTGATCAGCATCAATAGCCGAGTCGATCTAGCCATGTCCGTCTGTCCGTCTGCCCGTGCGTCCGTCCGTATGTCCGTATGTATGAACGCAAGGATATCAGAACCTTTAAGAGCTAGAGACTTGACTTTAATTGTAGGTCCTCCTAGTGCTTGCGCAGATCGAATTTGTTTCCGATAATCGATAACTTACTACGTTTCCAAGTTACTACGTTTCCAAGTAATCGATATTTATTGAGAAATTTTGGTAAATATTAAGAGCTAGAGTCACCAAACTTGATATGTTGCTCCTAGAATGTTATATACATAGATATCAAGTATCTTTCATTTTATACCTATCGCCACCTCCCCGCTACCACCCCACAGCTATAAATCAAGTTAATAACCCAGGTTGTATTGCCAACCAATTTAAGCCACAATTCAAATGCGATTGACTTTTTGAGAATACACAAATATTATATGGTACAATTAGATATACTGTAGAAAATTTCAATAAGATCGGTTTTTTTTATTCTATTTCGGTATTTTGACGCACGTGTTTTTCGACGCAAATTCCAAGAATTTCTGTATGCTTGTACACGCACACACACACACACACATTCATGCGCGTCTGCTTCGAATTCAATCAACAACTTTGTAATTGCGATTATATTGTTTTCTGTGCTGCTATTTAAATTCGTTTTTTTCTCACTAAGACTTAATTATTGGTGTGGTCTGTTGCGAGTTTGAGCCCTGCCGAGGAAACTATTTTTTTATATTTCTTTTTTGGCTGCTGTGCATTTGGAGTTGGAATAATAGGGTTCAGGATATCCCCTAGTCGAAAGCTGCCGACTAGAATCTCTTACTTGCTTTATACTCATGTGCAGGTTTGCGCAACGCTTAAAAAACTGGTGGCTTTGGTTGGAAACAAGAAACAAGACATTGCGCACGTACGAAGAAATTGTATATGTAGGCTGCGCTATCTCAGTAGACCAATCTTTCACCAATGACATTACATACTGGTGAAATGCGATCAAATCTTAACCGATCTTGATGAAATTTCCAATAGTGGATCTTATCTTACTATAGAATATTTGTATATTGTTAAAAACTCAAAAGCAAATAAAATTATTGCTTAATTATGTGGGCAATACAAATTGGTTTATTTACTGTATATATAGCTAAAATGAAAGATACTTGATATATATATATATATATATATATATATATATATATATATATATTTATACTAATCTTAAAGCTACATTTTTAGTTTGGAGACTCTAGCTCTTAAAATTACTAAATTTTCTCAAAATCAGACGAACAGATAGATTGACATGACTAGATCGACTCAGCTATTGATGCTGATCAAGAATATATATACTTTATGGAGTTGTTTCTGCCTGTTACATACATTTGCACAAATATTTACCCTCTTTACCCATTATCAATGGGTTCAGTGTATAAAGAAAAAACATATGTTGCGCTATCGAGCTTTTTCAATAGCTTTCACACTATAAATAATTAAAATGATTTTATTTCTTGTTATTCAATTTGCTTGTGTATTTGATATTAGTTACGAAAAGAAGACAAACATGAATTGGTCTGGTGTTATTATTAATTTACAAGACTTTTACATGGGCAAGTTGGATATTCTCTCCCCGTTGGAAAACATGGGCTTTTAAATGAATCCTTGATGGCGGTAGGCATTCAGCTCTCCTTATCATTCCTGTTGCTGTGCGCAAGATGGCTAAGCGAGCGACTCCATTCTTTCCCACGATTGGCTCCAATACAAAGACTAGTAGTTTGCTAACGCATAGGCCTGGCTTTAATTATCGATGCTATAGGGTGCAAAGACAACAGTACGATAAAAATGATCCTTCACTGTCTTCACTGCTGCTTCTCAAAGGCCGCCAAAGTGCGGCGAACGGGGGTGATAATTTCCATTCAAGTCAGCCATGCAAAACTTGTGCTCTGAATCAATATGATTGCGGCTTGAGTTCCAGAAGCTTGTTTTTGGCGCTGACCCAGTTGGTATTCACCATATCTAAGATGTCCTGCCTTACCAGATCTGATGCAAACGTTTATACCTAACGATTTTTAGATGGTTTGGATTTCTGCTGAATGGATGAGAAAGAAAACAGCAATCGATTCGAAGGTGAGTCCCAATCGAGGCCAAGAGTTGTGATGATGTCGCTCTCATCATCAAACTTTCGAGAAGATTCTCTGTTCAATTCTAGTATCCCTTCCAGTACAGCAGCATTACTTGATCACCGCTTTCGCAGCTTAAAGCCTCCATTTTCCAGGATTCCAGCCATCTGATTAAGAATTTCCTTAACTTCTTGAATCGAGTTACCCCTTGAAATAAGGGAAACGTGGAAAACACACCACGGACCCCGGATCTAATTGGGAAATTAGTTTCTGCATCCATAGAAAGCTGATGCATAACACGGACAGAGAGAAATGAATCTAGAATTGTTCCATATATAACCGTATATATCGTTGAGCTGTTTTTTTGGAAGACACAGTGATGAGGGAGAATATATTGACAAAGTCCTATGGACTCTGGAGCGAAAGTTGACATATTGACCCAGATCCAAGCATTCTTTCAAAAAATTTGAATATTGAGTCACCGGTCTGGACGATTTTTTAGTTTCCGTTCCAGGGTCAGGAAACGACGAAAGGCTTGTTGGTATGACTTCCCAAGACATGCAAACGTTCGCTTGAAGGGTATACGAACAGCATTTTGAAGTGGTGGGTGTAGTTACCAAGCAGGGCTCTATCTCCCAAAATCGTCGCACCAATTTATCAGCACGTTCTTCACAACTTGACTCAAGTTTGCCTACAGTATGCTTCGTAAGCAACGAGGACCCACCCAAATGCGATCCGCCTTGTTTTCTGAAGAATTTTCTCATAAAAAAGACAAGCTCCAAGCAGCAAGTCCACGCCCTGTGGCTTAAGAAAAGACGGACGTACAAGACGTATGTTAGCGGGAATGGTCCAATTTGTAGTGTTAGAGAAAAAGGCATGACAATAAATAACTAATCGCAGTCAGCTGACTATACGGAAAATAAGAGTTAAAAGGCAGCAGGGAGTGATGCTTCGCTCCGCAGGTTCGAAGGCATCCAGAGCTGCATGATCGAAATTGATGACCTTTCTTTAGACAATTCAAGCACAAATCAAGTCGATTTGCTTCCCTAAGCCGTAATGCAGGATCCAAATTTACAATCCGAAAGCAATTATAAATGCCATAACGAGGTGTGGCACAAAATTCGCAGACAGGGACGTCGTGGATAGTGACGATAAGTGAGCATCTTATGGCTAGAGGCATAGCCATAGGAAAATTAAAGTTTCCATGGTTCGGCATCTCTGCTGCAGAAGCGTAGCCATAAGCTTTCACGGTGGTATTAAGTTGACAAACGACGAGTGCTCTAGCTTCTCTTCCCACTTGTCCTGTGATGTTGGGTCCATCTTTTGCAGAATAATCTGCACAATGATGCATCGAGCAATCTGTTCGGTGTTGCCCATTGTTTTTTAACGCGTGAATGTGTGTGTTGAATTGATGGGACAACTCCCTTAGCGCTACAGGTAATCCACCTGCCACCCTCTTGAGCGCCAATATCTCAAATATGTTTACCTAAAAAACTAAACATCGATTTTTAAATCTTTTCTCTAATCATTTAAGTGCTGTGACATAAATATTATTTAATATTTCCAATGACCCAATTCCGTCCAGCGATAAATTCTACAGCCACGCCATTTCGCGATTTCACTCCGAGCCGAAATCCCCATCTAAACTGCAAATTTAAGCATTTTGCAGTGTTTGGAATTGGCACTGCATTAGAGGCATTATTTTCTGTTGCCATTTCAAGCGTTGTTCGAAAGTGTGTGCAAAGTACCTTAGTACGTAAAACGGCGATACCAGGTTCAGTTTAAGCTATTCATTATAGTTACCTTATGCGATGAGGTGCACGTTAAGACCGGGTTTCGGCCAATTCGGATATTAGCCCGGTATCGATCGTCCACATCGACAACGCGAAATGCTACTAACCGATTTTCCACATTAAAATTATAACAAGTAAGAGACTATAGTAGGGAGCTACCGATGATGTTCGCACTACGAGCTCATTTCATTATTAAAAATAAATTTAAAAAACCTAAAAATATAGTTCCATCCATAGAACTCGGGGTCGTAACACACCACACCACTTGAAATTCT